TTAGAAAAGAAAGATTCAGCAACACCAGCTAATCAGTTACAATTGAATGAGACCTTTATATCTCATCATTTAGAACAAACTAATAATTCGAATAAAAAATTAAATAAACCACCTCCACAAAAAAGAAATGGCACAGAAAAAATGAAAGACGATTTAAATCAAAATCAACTTGTTATTGAACAAGAAAAAGATCCTGAAATTTGTCTTTTAAAAAATAAAATACTCCCTTTAGAAGAAGCAAGAAAAGTTAGAGAATGCTTTTATATGAGAGATGGAATTTTAATGAGGAAATGGCGCCCAGTGGATGCCAGTCTAAATGAGGAGTGGAAGATAATAAACCAAATAGTGGTCCCGAAAATATACAGGCAAGAAATACTAAACATAGCTCATGATACTCCAATGTCAGGGCATTTAGGAATAAATAAGACCTGTGAAAAAATATTAAATCATTTTTACTGGCCGAAACTTAGACAAGATGTCGTCAATTTCTGTAACTCCTGTCACATATGCCAGATTGTCGGAAAACCAAATCAAAAGATTCCGTCCGCCCCTCTGAAACCTATTCCAGCATTTGAAGAACCTTTCAATAGAGTACTAGTTGACTGTGTTGGCCCTCTTCCAAAAACAAAAATAGGAAACCAATATTTATTGACAATTATGTGTATGTCAACTCACTTTCAAGAGCCTATCCCTCTAAGTAATATTAAGGCTAGGACTATTGTTAAGGCTTTAACTAAGTTTTTCTGTTTAGTCGGGATTCCTTCGGCCATTCAGTCAGACCAAGGTTCGAATATTATGTCTTGTTTATTTCAACAAGTAATGAGTGAAATGGCTATTAAACAATACAAATCTAGTGCCTATCACCCCGAATCACAAGGGGCTCTTGAGCGTTTTCATCAAACGGTAAAATCTATGATTGGAAAATATTGTTATCAATATAAAAAGGATTGGGATGAAGGGGTGCATTTTGTTTTGTTTGCTGTTCAAGACACTCTTGGGTTTAGCCCTTTTCAATTAGTTTTTGGACATACGGTTAGGGGTCCGCTAAGACTTCTAAAAGAAAAATGGTTGACTGAAAAAAATGAGATGCATCTTTTGGACTATGTATCAAATTTTAAAGAAAAATTATATAATGCTTTCAAAATAGCACAAGATAATTTAATAAACTCTCAAATTAAAATGAAGACTAGATATGATAAAAATTGTAAAAATCGTAAATTTGAAAGTGGTGACAAAGTTTTAGTATTTTTACCAATTCCTAATCATCCTCTACAAGCAAGATATTTTGGTCCTTATGAGATAGAAAAGAAAATTAATGATGTAAATTATATCATCCGCACCCCAGATCGAAGAAAAAAGAAAAGAATTTGCCACATTAATATGTTAAAAAATTACATCGACAGAAATTATATAACTAATACTAAACCAGTCTCAACTTTAATAAACGTTAGTAATACAAATCAATTTGAAGATGATTTAGACAATAATGAAGATACAGTTATTAGGGAGAAGGACATAGATCAGAGTAGTCATTTAAAAAACTCGGAAATCCTGTCTAATTTAAATGTAAAATTCAAACATTTATCAAATGAGAAAAGAAAAGACATTCATGGTTTGGTCAATGATTTTCAAAATCTTTTTTCCTGATGTTCCTAAAAAAAACAACGGTTGCAGTACATGATGTTTTAGTTGGAGATGAAAAACCCATCAAACAACATTTTTATCGGGTGAATCCAATCAAGCTTCAGCAGTTGAGAGCAGAAATTAAATATATGCTGGACAATGACATAATTGAACCAAGCAACAGTCAGTGGAGTTCTCCTTGTATTCTTGTACCAAAACCTGATGGCACTTACAGATTTGTGACAGATTTTCGAAAAGTAAATGCAATAACCAAAAGTGACTCTTTTCCAATTCCTAGAATTGATGATTGTATTGACAACATTGGCAAGGCGAAATATGTCAGTAAATTTGATTTAATGAAAGGTTATTGGCAAGTACCATTAACTGACAACGCCAAAGAAATTTCAGCATTTGTGACTCTGGATGGTTTATACCAATATAAGGTTATGCCGTTCGGGATGAAAAATGCACCGGCAACCTTTCAAAGGATGATGCATTCCCTTCTACATGAAATTCAGGGATGTGAGGTCTATATAGATGATGTAATTGTGTACAGCATGACTTGGGACGAACATATACACATCATCAAACAATTTTTTCTTAAGCTGGAAGAAGCAAACCTATGTGTGAACCTAAACAAGAGCGAATTCTGTCATGCAAACATAAATTATTTGGGTCATACTGTTGGTCAGGGACAGGTTAAGCCTATCACAGCAAAAGTGGATGCTATCTTAAAGTATCCTATCCCAACTAACAAAAAACAGCTAATGAGATTTCTCGGTATGGCAGGATTCTACAGAAAATTTTGTAAAAATTTCTCATCAATAGCAAGTCCTCTCACCGACCTACTTAAAAAGGAAGTAAAATACAAGTGGAGTGAAACCTGTAATAAGGCTTTCAACAGAATCAAGTCGATTCTCATTGGTGGCCCAGCTCTTGCAACTCCAGTTTTTTCAAAGCAATTTAAACTGCAAATCGATGCCAGTGATGTCGGTATGGGTGGTATCTTAATCCAAGAAGATGATGAAGGCGTCGATAGAGCCATTGGATTTTCTCAAAAAAAGTTCAACACCTACCAGAAAAACTATTCTACTATTGAAAAGGAATGCTTGGCAGTGTTATCAGCACTACAACATTTTGACTTTTACCTCAATGTTACTGTTCATCCTGTTCTGATTTATACTGACCATAATCCATTAACTTTCCTTCAAAAGATGACTAACAAAAATCAAAGACTTACTAGATGGAGTCTTCTCCTGCAAGAATATGATATTATTATAAATCACATTAAAGGAAGGAACAATGTTATTGCAGATGCTTTGTCTAGAGCATAACTTAAAAAAAAAAAAAAAAAAATTTGATATTATGACTTATTTCTTTACAAAAAAAAAATAGATTGATATTGTCTTATAAAAGTTTTTCATTCAAATTTCAAAACTTTTTACTTTGAAGGGGGAAGTGTTACGAGGATGCATTTTTATATAAAAGGGATTCCTTTGAGTTCTACTTGTTATTACAAAAAAGTTTTCATTCATGAAGTAGTTGTAAAATAGAGAAATTAGAAATAGAATGTTTGGAAGATTCTAGATCATTCTAGTATATTCGAGAAAAATCTAGATGATTCGAGAAACATCTAGAAAAAATGCAAATTAGGTGTTAGCCCCTATAAAAATGGGATTTTGGAAAAGGGTTGTCAGTTGGTGAAAACAGATTGCTGTCAGTATCAACTCCGGCTTTTGATTCAAGGACTATTATATCCAGCCGAAAGAATCTCTATAAAAAGTTGCCGACCAACCAAAACCCAAAAGAGAATTTCATGGAACAAAGTTGGTAAATAGAATTTTGACTAATTTTCATTGACCAAACTAAAATTAATATTTATTTACACACCTTTGTGGATTTCCAAATATAGCATTTAGATTACTTCACTAGCTAAAAAAAATTATAAAGATATTTGACTCCTTTCCTTCTCCCCTCGTAACACTTGCCAGTAACTCTGTGTTTTCTGTTTTGTAGGCCACAATTGTTTATCTTGTATATATTTTATGTTCTGTTTTAGTAAATTAAATATTTGTTTGTGATTTAGCTCTGTTGATTTCAGAAATTACCTTATATATATATATATATATATATATATATATATATATATATATAATTTATTTATCTTCAGTTTTTTAAAAATGTTTAGTAGTTATGCTGTTCTTCTTTACATTGAAATTTTGATGATTAAACTCGGGATATATTGACTGAGAAACTTTGATATTTTTATTTCTAGTCTAAAATAATATACTGCTTCAATACTAACCCATATCTGTCACTTATTGGATGGCCAAAGATTAAATTGCCTTGTTGGCAGTTTTTAACACTTGTGGATTTATATTCACTTTGTCTGACATAAGCCTACAAATTTGAGGCACCCAGTGAAGACTGAATTCACTACAGTAGCTATAGTTTACAAGACATGTTTGCTAAACACTACTCTATGGTGAGGTGCCTCCTTTTGTAATATTACTTAATTACAATGCTTTATTTTTAAGAGGATTTTATGAAATTGTTCATGATATTTTTTAATTGTCTTTTTAAATAATCCATTAACTGTGGATATCAGGAATTTTAGTCATTGCAGTTCTGTGGCTCAGTTGTAAATAATGGAAATTTCCATCAGTCACATACATAATAACTGATTCAATGTAATTGATTGGTTATTTAACTGGCATATTAACCACCATGGATCATTAATGCTGGAACAGTTGGTTGATTTTGTTCAGCAGCATGACAACCTCCATGGGCCACTCAATGCTGAAATATTTTGTACACAACTTTATGGCTTTAACCACAGATGTTTTGTTTGCAATTTTATACTTCCAAAGTTTCAGGGTAAATGTATGTATGTATGTCTGTATGTATCTGTGTATGTGTGTATGTATCTGTGTATGTATGTATGTATGTATCTATGTGTGTATCTGTGTATGTATGTATCTGTGTATGTATGTATCTGTGTATCTATGTATGTATGTATCTTTGTATGTAGGTATGTATCTGTGTGTATGTATGTATCTGTATGTGTATGTATGTATCTGTGTATGTGTGTATGTATGTATCTGTGTATGTATGTATGTCTCTGTGTATGTATCTGTATGTGTGTATGTATCTGTATGTATGTATGTATCTGTATGTATGTATGTATGTATGTATCTATGGATGTATGTATCTGTGTATCTATGGATGTATGTATCTGTGTATCTATGGATGTATGTATCTGTGTATCTATGGATGTATGTATCTGTGTATCTATGGATGTATGTATCTGTGTATCTATGGATGTATGTATCTGTGTATCTATGGATGTTTGTATGGATCTATGGATCTATGGATGTATGTATCTATGGATGTATGTATCTATCTATCTATCTATGTATGTATCTATCTATCTATCTATGTATGTATCTATCTATCTATCTATGTATGTATGTATGTATCTATCTATGTATGTATGTATCTATCTATGTATGTATGTATCTATCTATCTATCTATCTATGTATGTATCTATCTATCTATGTATGTATCTATCTATCTATCTATGTATGTATCTATCTATCTATCTATGTATCTATCTATCTATCTATCCATCTATGTATCTATGCATCCATCCATATGTATGTATTCATCCATGTATCCATCCATGTATCTATCTATCTATCTATATATCTATCCATCTATATATCTATCTATCTATGTATGTATCTATGTATGTATGTATCTATCTATCTATATATCTATCTATCTATCTATGTATCTATCTATCTATATATCTATCTATCTATGTATCTATCTATGTATGTATGTATCTATCTATCTATATATCTATCTATCTATGTATGTATCTATCTATCTATATATCTATCTATCTATATATCTATCTATCTATCTATGTATGTATCTATCTATGTATGTATCTATCTATGTATGTATCTATCTATCTATCTATGTATCTATCTATCTATCTATGTATCTATCTATGTATCTATATCTATTTATATCTATTTCTATCTATCTATTTCTATCTATCTATTTCTATCTATCTATTTCTATCTATCTATCTATCTATCTATCTATCTATATATTTATCTATCTTTTTATATCTATCTATCTATTTATATCTATCTATCTGTGGTGTTTGTTTAAAGAGATATAATATATAAATAATGTATTGTGCTTTCTTCTATAAGTGTTGGAAGCAGTCTGCTTCTTTCAGGTAGCCTATTATTTGAGAAACATATTTTTGAAAAGCATGGTAAAGTTTTGTACATCATAGTATTTGTTGCATGTGTTTTTGTACTTTTTGCAGTCTATTAGGATGTGCTTAAAATATCAATCAGTGTATCAAATAAACACTCCTTCCTTCAAACCAATAAAATAAATTTACTTCTCTCACAGAATTTTGGGTGTCAAAATAAAGAAAACCAAATATTTAAAATTGTATTCAGAGTTTCACTTATTACCATATGCAGAAAACAGCAACTGAAATTCTCTTGACACAGTTAAGTGGGTTATTTATATAAAAAAAAACAATAGTGAGAGACTTTTGCTTGACTTACTATTTATAAACAAACAGATTCTGTTTTTATATTGTAATGTTACTATGTTCTGTTTGAAAGCTGAAAAGATTTAAATAAGTATTTATTAAAAAAATTTATCGTTTAGGATATCACTTAATATTTATCAATTTGTTTTTCCTTGTTTAATACAGGATAAAATTTACCCAGTAAAACAAATCTTTATTCAATAAAATTTATTCAGTTTTATAACTCTTCAAATTGTTTTAATTTTTTTTGTTTTTACTGTCAAACGCTTTCTTGTAAATAGATTATGGTATAATTTTTATTTTCCTCTTAATTTTTATAGTAACAAAACAACGAGATCCTGAAACAATGCAGCAAAGTTTACTATTTCAGGTAAGAATATAAGGTTTCTATTGGATAATTAACAAAATTTTATTTCAAGTTTTTCTCAGGTAGTAATGAGATTTCTGTTTGATAATTTCAGTTCTAGAAACATATATATGGCACTAATTAAAGATACACTTGGACATTAATCTATTCACCTTATTCTATCTATCAACATTTTTTTTCTACACTATTATATTTGTAAAATTCCTTCAATTGATTTTCAATTTCTTTTATTGAAGTGGATCTTTGTAAATGAACATTGTTTTGCTTAATCCTAAAGAAGTGATAATCAGTTGGATCAAAGTCAAGGAGAATATCAGTGGATGAATCATTTTCCTCCAACTGAATGCTTTTATGCACTCTTTGGTCACTCGTGCTGTATGAAAATGTGCATTATAATGATGAAGAATGTGACCCCCCCCCCAACCTTTCTGTTCACTAAGGACAAGTGTTTTCAAATGCCAAACATTGTTGGCATTAAGATTCAGCTCTAACTGGTTATCATTTAAAAGTTCATACTGGATGATTTCTTGTATATTACACCAAACATTCAATATAATTTTCAGATGGAGGTTGCTTCTCAGCTAGGGTATAGATATATTGCAACCATGCCAATGATGATGACACTTAACATTGTGAGGGAATGATGATCCTTGATCAGGTTACTTGGAAGAAATGGAACCAGTTTATTTAGAGGTTCTGTTCCTTGAAATCATTTGTTCATTTCCTCATCTTCATTACCAACCAAGGCTAGAAAGATTTGTCTTTGTTATTAACTAATAGCTATAGGGGTGAAGTGAATTCATGCCTTTTCCCAAGGTATTAATACAAAGTAAACACTATCCTAGCCAGAATTTGTACTTAGTTTGCTGATTCCATTTTCTGTGCTGTTAACCACTAGGCCACCCATATTGTTGCAAACTAATGACTTATTTAGATCAATATGTTAGCAAATTGTGTAGGAAAATACATCTCTACTATAATATAATGGCAATATTATCTGTTTCCTTACATGGAATCATACAACATTCATTGAATGAGCAGCCATTGCTGCCATCAGTTGTAATTTATAAAATCTTACTTTTAAAACAATTTTTTAAGAAAATAGGTTTAAGTCCACTATTATTGCTCTTTCCAGTATTGATGGGAGCTTCTTTCCTAATGTTTTGTTTGAAGTAATTTGAAAATGTCACCATCTTGAAAATGTTATTATTTTCTCTTCAAGTTACATGTGTTATCCATTTTAATTGTTGCTGCTGTTGAAAGTGTTAAATAATAGTCTAGCAGACTTATTTTTTAGAGAACTATATTCTCCTCTGACTTCCTCATTTTGACCTTTTGAGGTCAGATACAGGAAAACAGAGAAAGTCATTTTTATTTGGTTAAAACTAGTGTGAGAATGTTACAGAGATAGAAAGGGATTTCAGGGAGTCAAGTTTTAGCACATCGAAGAATGTAGACATATTATTTCGTGTTGGGGAACTTGCTCCCCAGTCGGGGTGATAGAGCAACCCCACTGGCTAGTTAAAAATGTACACGTTGATGTGTTTAATAAAATACGTAAGTTTAAAATCTCTTTTGTTGAAGTTCTCTTTTATCTCCAAACAAAACAACTGGCAATCAATGGCCAAGAAAGAAGGCAACATTTATGAGTGAATCAAGACCGTCAACCAAAACCTCCCCAGAACAAGGGGCTATCCAACAAAAGTCCTCAAATGATGTGGTCTCTATTATTTGTACAGTTCTTTGTGATTCTGTCACATCAATCCACAAGGTACAAAGAAGTATACATTTGTATATAAGTATACATTTATTCTGAACATGTGTGAGGAATTTTTTTACTTATATGCTTATTGCTTTATCTGGTGATGACAAAAGTTAATTAAATGTCATATTTAATGAAGTTTTGTAAACACCAAACTTGAATTGATTGGTTTGCTTGTTAAAAAAAAAATGGAGTAGAATTTTTAAAATTTTTGTTTTATCAGTTTTTGTTGAGTAACATTCCATAAACCTTTCTCAAACCACGGTATTAGAATAAAAAAAACAACATTGAATTTTTGGGGGTTGGGTGGGGAGATGGGTTCATAATATAAATACAGTGTCAACTCAATTCCTGACTTATCTATTATAGTTATCTATATGTTTGGGGTTTTATTTATTAATGTCAAATTTGAAACTGTTTATGTTATTGATAACTGTATACTATTATGAATTGAGGAAAAGGACAACATCAGTGGTACAAAGTTATTAATGACATAAGCATAATTTCAAACTTGACATTTGTAAATAAAAACAAATTACAGACAACTCTTTAAAAAGTTTATCAATTTGATACTGTCTTTATATTAAAGAGACCGCTTTCTAAAGCAATAAAAACCAATTTTCTTGAATTCTGACAAATGTAACTTGAAGCTTTAATCAATGCTAATCTACAAAAATTATCTTCCCACCACATTTTTTTCCTTATTTTTTTATGAGCAGACTAGTCAATTTCTTAACCATACAAAACTTGTATATCACTTGAATAAGTGGAGACGTTGAAATTAACTGCCAAAAAGATAGGGTAGTATAATTGTTATATTTAAGTTTTATCTCATTAAGAAATTTTAAATATTTGTGGAAAATGTACACTGTAATTGAGATGGAAAATATGTAGAGGAATTACACCACCTTTTTTCTTTTTGACAGTTAATTTTAGTATTTCTCTACTCTAGTTAATTTTGTGTTGTATATTTTAGTGGCAAATGGTATTGTCTGTATATATCACTTTACTGGAATGAACCAATCCACTTGTTACATTAATAACCATCTTATGTCAAACAAAAAAACAAGCTGGTCTCTTTATGTTTTATACAATTGAAGAAGGCTGCAAAATAGATCTGTTGAAATGTAGCTGCATCAACAATACAAAGGAAGAGTTTAAATGTTTAAACATTTGTTAGACAATACCAAATTTGGTACAAGGCCAATATTCTTAGAGTACTAGGTAAAGATTGAATTCCCTGACAGTGACTTGCAATACTAACATACTAAGTATAGAGCAAAGAAACATGGCTAACTCCATTTTCCTTTATAATAAATATACAGCTGACACAACTTTAATCTCAAGAATTACTTATAATTTTTTTCTGGATTTAAGCTGTTCAGTTTCATAGAATTATGAAGAAAGCAGTTTTTACTGATCAGCTAAACAATAAGGAGACATTAACAGTGTTGACAATACAGGATACATTTTCAAATTTTATTTCATGAAAAATATGTCTTCAATGCTGGAAAACGTCACTCTTCAATATAACCAGCTATTTCAAATATATTGTTGTATATTTGCCACAATTTCTTCTCTGTTTCTGCTACTCATGGGGTGGGGATGACCCCTTTCCTCTCTCTTTCTATACAGATTATACACTTAAAGATCAATGTAGAATGGATCAGGTAAAATGTTATTGTGACAATAAAAGCCACAATAAAGAATCACTTCAGTGATGTGAATAACTTTTGGAACATTTTCTCTTGATTTACAAAAAGATGAAAAGTTTTGTTTTTCTTCAGATTGATTATCCTGAAATTGCTGATGTGATCATTCCCCGCCATAGATTCATGGCTGCTTATGAACAAAAAGTTGAACCACCTGATAGGAAGTGGCAGTATCTTTTATTTGCTGCAGAACCTTATGAAACTATTGCCTTCAAGGTAAGCTTTTATTTTTGAAATGATTAGCACAAACATGCATTGAAATGATTAGTTGTAAAAAGTGTATGAAAGTACAGTAGCATCCAGTATTAGAGAATGAAAGTTTAAAAGTCAAAAGTTTTCAATTTTTACATCTCCTTCTTACAATCCTGCAACAACCCTCTAACTTGAGTGGCTCTAGGGCTTGTATTGGATGAACATAAAAAAATATATACCAATTGTGATATAAACTGCAATAAATATTCAGGAAAATTTGCATAAAAAAAAGAACTAAGGATAAAGAAAATTATTGAACAAAAAATCTATCCAAAACATAAGAACAAAATCGTAATTTCACATGTAAATTTAATTAATGTTATTGACTTAATATTGATAAAAATATTAATATGTTTATGTTCTATGGCTTTTAATCAACAACTCAGAACTTCATTAATTTATTAATTAATTTATTAAGATTGTTTATGAATGATTTTGTCCTATTTCTACTGCAGTTTTTGCCACAAATCAGTCATTTTTTTTATATCCTTTCCTCCTAACATTATTGCTGATAATAAGTTCCTTAGTTGACTTGGGATCAGTGCTTTAGATTAGCCATGTGATAATTTTGGTGTTTTTTGCCTTTGAAGAATTGTTTTACTATTTTTGCACAATAAAAAGGGACATTATCTTGCATAAGGATGGGATGCTCTCAGAGAAGCAAGAACATGTTGGTCAATAATAATCTTATTCACTGCAACATTTATTTTGCTCTGCAACTAAATTAGTGTGTCAACGCCAGTGTCAAAATATTCCCCACACCAATATACTATCACTTCCAAATCTTTTTTTTTTTTTCTTACATTTGGGAAGCAATGTCTTCCTTTTATTTTGTCTGGCATACTGCCTGTTGCCAGTTAACCAAACTAAACTATTTTGTCTGTGTAAATGTTATGAATTGATTAATGTCGGTAAATGCAATTTTTTCCACATGGAAGAATTCAGTGATGCACCTCTGCATCATACACATTTTCATGCCAGGGGCTATTTTAACAGATTGCTATACTGCCAGCATGATAAAAAAAAAGCAGGCATTACTTTCAGAGCAAGCTTTATAGAATCCAGTATCTCAATGCTGAATTATGAGTGTTTTTCTATATTTTATTAAATCTAAAAGCTCCAATTATTTTTATTACATAATCTTTTTTTTTTTTTTTTTTTCTCATTTTTTATGTGGGATGCATTTGTAGTAAAATATTTTTCTATTCACATATTAAATGTAAATGTTTTCTTAATACCAGGTAATTTCTTCATATTTAAGGGCTTTTAGGTATAAGTACTTCAATTTATCTTTTTACTTCTTTTTTTTATCTTCTGCAGGTGCCTAGTCGTGAAGTTGACAAAGACCCTAAAAAACTATGGACTTATTGGAATAAAGAAACAAAGCAGGTGAGAAATACTTGCCTGCCATATTCTCTTAAACATTTGTATTTTTACATATCTTTCTGGACAATTATCTTAATATAGTACTTTTGAAGATGCAAGCCAAAAAATAGTTATATTATCTGCAATTATAAACAGTAACAAAAGTGGCATGGTTAAATGTAAATAAATGGCAGAACTGCACAATAAACAGAATTGACAGTTTGCAATAAACAACAAGGAAAAGAAAAGAACAGGTCAAAAAAATAATATAAAGCAAGCAAAAAATATATGCAAGGTAAATTAACAGTAATAAGGCAAAAAGTTCATAAACTAAAAATTGGGATAATCAAATGTAGGGTCCTGACTTCAAGACAAGACAGACTGGGACTGAGTAAGATGAAACTGAGAACTGGCCTATTGGCTGTGAATTATCCAGTTTATTTGATGATGTGAATCTTTTCATGTACGTTATTGGTTATCGCACTGAGGCTGAGGTTAGCCTACCAACAAACATCACTCAGAATTTAAGGTTTCTTTTTTAGAATTGTATAAGACAACCCCCAATTTTTAATGGTGATTTTGGGGATTTAAAGGTTGTTTTATACACGGAAAATATACAGTATATTTCTATTGTTTTCATACTTTATACATAGATAACTCAGAATTTGTAGCTCATGATATTTACATGAAGAAGAGAAATATCGGGATACACTCTTTATTTTGGAACTCTTCAATGTACTGATCTGTCTGTTATTTACTGTAATTCACTTATGGCTTACAGCCACATCATGTTGAAACACCAGTTCCTGTACAATCACCGAAGTTAAGCAACGTCAGTCCTGGTCAGTACCTAGATGGGTGACCACTTGAGAATACCAGGTGCTGTAAGCTTAGATCTGCAGCTATTGTAATGGATAATGGTTCAGAATTGTTAATTGGAGAGCCAAGTTCCAATTCCATTTGGGTTTGTTATATTCATTTAACGTGTAAATACCTTTGGGAAATTTTGAATTCCCCTCTTCTCTCCCCCAGATATGGGTTAATTAGTAAGACTTGTATCACTAAAACTATTATTATTTCCCCCAAAAATAAAATTTAGTAAAAACATTTAGATTTCAGCATTAAATAACCCACAGGGATTGATATGCCACTAAACAAAATCAAACCAACAACACTTTTTAAAATCAAAAAAAGTAATTTTTTTTTTTTTTTTTAGAAGGGAGTTCTGTTCAATTATAAATACATTATCAAATTGATCCCTGACTTTTTAAAGAATTATCTTTACTTGTTATTTACAAATGTCAAATTTGAAACTTTGTTCATGTCATTGATAACTGTTTGCTACTAATTGTGCCTTTTTTTTTTTTTTTTTTTTTTTTTGATATGGAAATGCGGATTTAATTAATAATATATTTTGCTTATTCTTTTGTTTTTCAGTTTTTCCTGCAGTTTGCCTTCAAGTTGGACCAGAAAGTTAACCAGCCTCCATCAATACCTCCACCACCATCAAATCAGATTGCACGAAACATGCAGATACCACAACGCATGCCCCCACCTCCACCAGTGGCTCCACCACCCTCACTACAAGGCATGATGCCACCTCGACCACCACCACCTATGGGACCACCTCCAGTTGCCCCACCACCTATACCCCCTCCTTCAAGTGTGCCACCCCCTGGCCCACCTCCAGCAGCTCCACCACCTCCTCCTGTACCCCCTCCAGTTCCTATGCCAACAGTACCCAACATTCCTCATCCCTCCGTACCACCACCACCCCCACCTCCTGCACCACCCATGCCAAACTGAGAATAGAAAGATTCCATTTCATATTTCATATATTTTTTTTTTTTTTTTTCCTCTTTTCCTTAAACTTTTGGGGAAACAAAAAATTAAAATGGTGGGGACAAGAAAATAAATTCGTTTTGGAAATTTTATTCTTTTTGCTTTTTTTTTTTTTTTTTTTTTTTTCTTTTTCTCTTAATGAGTTTTATTACAGGATGGAAATGTTAGGGCTAGAACAGTCAGCAATTGATTAGAATACCTCATGGGTTTGGTATTCTGTCAGTGATGGATTGCCTTTGTTTGGGTTTTGGGTGTAACTCCAAAATGCTGCAAATTCAACAGAGGGCTGCAAGAATTTTGAAACCTCAATGTGTTTCACACACCCAAATTCAAGAGACAGCCTAAGACCACACTGAAAGATGCTAAGTGAATGAGTAAGAAAAGGAAATTGTTTTTTTTTTTTTTTAATATTATCTATGCAGTAGCATTGGGATCCAGAGACAACACAGAATGCAACAGTTTTTTTTCATTTATGAAATCAAAAACATCTCAACATGTCATAAATTTTACACCTTATGAAAATTGTCAAATATTAAACCTTTTTTTTGTAGTTATATTTGCTATATGCATATTTTTCCTATATAATATTCATTTGACACTAAACTAAACCAAGTAAATATATTGTGTAATATGGTGTCTTTGAAGGATAGAATTGGTGGTAGAACTAAAGAAGGTAGTTTGTCAGAACATTTACCATGGAAATAGTGATAAAGTAGTGATAAGTTTGTGACATTGTACCTGTGAGAAAAGGCTGCTGAAGAGGGAATAAATCTTGTCCCACAAGACAGCAAAAAGTGACAATTGAGCAGCTCCAGACTGGATATGGCAGCAATTTTGGTCTAATCCGACTCTTGTAAAAATAAAGTATGGCAGAAGTCAGGCACTTCCTGAAGTGAGAGAATGAACTTGTGCTTTTTTTTTTTTTTTTTTCAGTATCTTAAATGATAGATTTTTTTTTATATATATATATATATATATATATATATATATATATATATATAACTATGAACATAAAGAGCCAGGCAAACCTACCTAGGTTTCACGTACACAGATCGTCAGGATGTGCCGGTGCACCCTGATGGTCCATGTAGATGGAACCTAGTCTGAGCTTGGATTCTGGTCGATTGTTTTCGCCTGAATTGTATGTACAGAGTTATTTCTGTTTTTATTCCTTATTTTTCCTTGGGTATTGGTTTGCTCATTTACAAGCCAAAACACCTAAGGTTTTTCCAGATGAGTATAATTACTTATATTTATAAGATTATTATATATATATATATATATATATATAATCTCCGACTCTCGTCGAATTCGACATTTGAGGGTCAAACAGATCAGTTCCTAGGTAACCGAGAGCCCAACAACAGCACAAGAGATTTGATTATTGATTATAGTGGTGAAGGTTTTGTGCAGGACCATCCATACTTTTTGAAGGGACAGATACAGAAACCTGGTGCACTACATGCCACAGGGTCCCCAAACGCCCCTCTGCAGGTTTTGAATTCAAAGTTGAGGAGGCATCGTGGTGTAATGGATAGCAGTTTGGATTGAGGAATCTGAGAGCCAAGTTCAAATTCCAGTTGAATCCATTACATTCACTTACGTGCTAATACCCTTGAGAAAGGTTTGAATCCTCTTCTTCTCCCTCTAGCTATGGGTAAATAGCAGGCCAGTGAATGTAATGGATTTGGCTGTAATTTGAACTCTTGTTCTCTGATTCCTCAATCTGAGCTACTATCCATTACTCCCTATATATATATATATATATATATATATATATATATGCGTGCTTAAGCACTAATATTCCATTGGAATCGTAAATACAATCCAATTCATCAGACCTACAAATTCAAAAAGAAAAAAAACAACTTCGGAAATAAAAATAGAATTTAGAGAGAGTGTAAGTATGAGAGTATGGGGCGAATGTTAGAGTCAAAGAGAGGGGTAACAGATGAGAGAAGGTGGGAGATTTAACCTTAACAGAGAGAAGTTTTAGAGAGGTGAGTGGATAAGGGATGAACCCCACTTTTGAAATGGAGATACTTATCAAGAGCTAGAATACCTAATAACCTCCGTGATCTGTGCATGGCGGAAAAAATAAAGATAAAAGTCAAGATGAACTGCTGAATCTTTGTAATGAGATATTTTCTAAATGTAGACATAAGAAACGATTCAAAACATAAACACTGTTTTGTAACATGTCACTTATGTCAGTTCCATCTTGGTTCAATAACATAGGGCATGACATTTTAATGGAATGGCTATTATGTTTATCGCTATATATATCATTGTGTCTGTTTATGTGATGGGCTATGTATTTCATTTTTTTTCTACAAATTTTTGAAATTTTACTTTTTTAGATTTTATATTTTAATTTATATCTATCTATATATGTATATGTATATGTATGCTTGTATATGTATATTTATGTGTATGTATAGATGTGTGTATGTTTTGGTATGTATGTACTCATGTATCTGTATATGGGTGTGTATGTATGTATAGTTAGACGGATAGATATAGGGATACATTGTTTATTTGTTTAGATGGGTGTATGTAATTGTATGGAGATGTAAGGTTTTAGGTATATATGTATGTCCATATATATATATGTAGGAGTGGATGTGTGTGTGTAAATGTGGATGTGTGTGTAAATGTGTATGTAGGAGTGGATGTGTGTGTAAATGTGTATGTAGGAGTGGATGTGTGTGTATGTAGGAGTGGATGTGTGTGTGGATATGTGTGTGTGTGTGTGTGGATATGTGTGTACATGGGTATATGTGGGTACACGCCTATATGTATGTATGTACGTGTATATGTTATTGTGTATTCGCATGTGTTTTTGAACATAAAAATATAGGTCCTTGCTAGATTAGATATTTATTTTTTATATGTTTATATTTGACTTGTAACATGTAGTCGATATTAATTTTGTCAAATTTTCTTAATTACACAGTGACCCTTTCAGTAAATGCCCTTCAATTTTAGTTTCCCCTGCCCCATCTCTCTCCCCCACCCCTTCTTCTTTTCTTTTCCTCTCCCTCCTTCTTATTCTGATCTTTAAGATTAGATCGTCTATTATGTGTTTATGTCAACACGAAATGTATCTTTAATGTATTAGACATCCGACAACATTCATATTTCTCTCACTTAAACCTCTTCCACTCACCTCTCTAAAACCTCTCTCTGTTAAGGTTTAATCTCCCACCTTCTCTCATCTGTTACCCCTCTCTTTAGCTCTAGCATTCGTCCCACACTCTCATACATACACTTTTTATTCCCGAAATTGTTTTTTCTGTTTTCTTTTTGAATTTGTAGGTCTGATGAATTGGATCATATTTACGATTCCAATGGAATAAATTATGACCATGGAATATTAGTGTTTAAGCCTTTTTATTATATCCTTACTCTGTCCTGGACATTGAGTTCTACCTGGATTCTATCCTCTTGGAATTTTTTATTAAAAAAATATACATGTATGTGTATGCACATATATATATATATATATATATATATATATACACACACACACACACACCAAGTATATGATTTCCTTGTTAGCGGAGTTAATGCTGTTTCTATTTTCTATTGATGAGGGTATATGTTTAATTATGGGTGGAGGGTATGAGGGTATATGTTTAATTATGGATATCAATATCAAGGAAATATTCCAACACAATGGCTTCTATAACACTGCCCTAAAAAATAGTGGTTATAAAAATGCAAACATTAACTATAGAGACAATTGCACTGGCCAAAAGAAAAAAAACAGGAAAAGAAAAATCATTTGGTATACCCCTCCGTTCAACCAAATGATTAGTATTAAACTAGGACAGAAATTCTTAGATCTAATTGATAAACACTTCCCCACCAATAGTAAGCTTAGTAATATATTTAACAAGAACACCCTAAAATTGAGTTACAGCTGCACCGAAAATCTAGAAGTTATAATAAAAAAACAATAATAAAATGTTGAACAAACCCCATGCCTGAATAGTATTAATAATAACCCTACACTTAAATCAGACAATAACAGGGAAAATTATGTAATTGTAGAAACCCAGAAGACTGCCCATTAGAAAATAAATGCTGCATCAAATCTGTGGTATACCAATGTACTATATCATCCACTGAGAGTCCTAGTACTAATATGATATACATTGGGTCCACGAAGAATGATTTTAAAGCTAGATGGAGGCAGCATAAGTGCTCTTTCAACAATATAAATAAAAGAAACCAGACTTCCCTATCTAAATATTTTTGGCATCTGAAGGAAATAAATAGGACACCTAAAGTAAAATGGAAAATTATAAACAGGACTAGAACATGTAAAACTTGGGATGACCCATGCCCTTTGTGCCTCCATGAGAAGCTGCATATTATTAAGTTTCTAAATAATAATAATCTATTAAACAATAGACATGAGTTAACGGTTTTCTGTTGTCATCATCAAATCTATGGTTTGAATGATTAGCTAAAAACAAGCATACAATATAATAACTTTTATAATCCATAGCCAAAATAAATAGTTTAAATACCCTACAAAAAGAAAACCCTTTATGAAGTCGTCAAAAAACAAAAGTTACGGCAGTTTTTATATGCACAAATCCTTTTCATAAAGAAATAAAATAAAAAAAATAAATAAATCTCCGTAGATACGTAAGCCAGACTAGGTTAAAACATCTTCCATTTCAAATTTAGACACCCCCACCTTACCCTGACTTGACATCTCTGAAAGTAACTCTATACTGATACTTATTATTAACACCCAACACACGCCTACCCAATTTAAACAATTCGCCCTAGCTGTACCATGGAAATTTTGATTTCAATTATTAAAACACGTAAATTTCTGAAATAAGTTATTCCAAAAAAAATTTCGCTTGAAGATGGAACAGAGCATTCTTTAACTCAATTTAATTCAAATAATTATATTGAAGTTTTCGGCTCTTGTTTTGAAACAT